GATTACGGCCTTGTGGAGGTCCTAGAACAACATCACGCCACAGTTATGCTATTCCTGGATTTCCAAGCCGCACTCGACTCGTTTGACCGGTGTGTTCTTCTTGATACGCTTGCCTATCAAGGATTGCCACAGAAGTTTGTGAACAGAATAAACTCTTTGTATTCTTAGAGTTCCGGACGTGTGAGAGTGTGCGGAGAGCTCCCCAAAAGCTTCCGTAAATAAAGCGGTGTGCGTCAGGGTGGCCCACTCTCTCTATTCCTTTTTCACTTCATGATCGATGAGATAATGAATTAGACGCTGGAGGGCCTTCAAAACCGCGGTGAGGCAACCCTTATCGACCTGTAATATGTGAACGACATCGTTCTCGTCTTCAAAGAGAAAGAGAAGGCGCAGGTGTTTTCGGATGAACTGATATCCACTTCGCACTTACAAAGTGTAACGTCAGGCTCGTGGAAATGCAGTCACTGAGCGCTCCACTGGACACTGTGGAGCGTCTTACGTATCCTCGATATTGTATTAGTTTTGATTTGATGACACATGTAACGTCAGGCTCGTGGAAATGCAGTCATTGAGCACTCCACTGGACATTGTGGAGCGTTTTACGTATCCTCGATATTGTATTAGTTCTGATTTGGTGACACCGATGAAGTCGATGAAGGAATCTGTATCAGGCTACAATGCGAGCTGTTTTGTTGTGTGGCTGTGAGACTTGGCCTGTTCGCTCAGCGGAACTGAGACGTTTTCAGGTGCTCTACAATCTTTGTCTCAGAACCATAGCTCGTATGAGCAAACTCGCAACGAGACAATTGGAAACCAAGCATTTGGTTGTGCAATGGATGATTCAATTAAAGAGTGTATCGAGCACTAGAAGCTACATTGGTTAGGCATTTTATTGCGTGTTAAACCACCGTTTGCCGAAGACAGCTATATTTTCCGTGCCCAAATTAGAGTAGCGGATGCAGAAACGTGGCCAACCCTTTACCTGGCAGAGGGGTATGAAAAAATTCACGAAAAGTTTGGGTGCTGTCGGTGCCACTCGCCTTCCAGGATGGGGACCTCGTGATCCCTACTGCATCTAGTTAGAGACACTGCAATATATGCCTGCCAACCGACATCAGTGGCGTTCTTACTGTCAGTATCTATCCAGATTACCTGTCTGAGTGTCTGGAGGTGTAGGCACCTCGGACTGATTGTGGTAATCTAGCACTATGTCCGTTCCTCGTACACCTTTATTCTTTGCTTCACAATAAAGCTTTCGGAAAAATCATGGTTGTGTGACATAGAAGCATCGGTGTTGAACATTGATGTCATCCTGTCGATGATGATGATGACGGCAATGTTAATAGCAGAAGCTGAACAATAGCTTCTTCTGACAAACTGAAGCGATTTGTATAACCAGTCACCCTTCAATGGACATTTCTAGCCACTCCTATGGTGGGTCCCGGAGAACTGAATTTAATGCTTTATACAGGCACTCATCGACGTAGCTGGAAGAGTTGAGCTTGAGTACTCATTCCATGTACCCTTCTCAACGCACCCCCAAGTTTGGCTTTACGTCAAAAGTAAGTGAAAAACGAAACAAAAACGAATCGTGCGGAATTGAGTCCATATTCTACGTTTCATATCTCCTCGTGACAAACGTATTATTGCGTAGTATATGATTTTTGTAACGAGACACTACTCACGAAGCAGCTGAAAGAACCTTGGTTACAGTAACGCGTTTCGCCTGCTTGGGATTCTTCAATTAGCGACACACTTCGAGTTTTTGGTAAAACCTATTTTCCACCAACAAAACCCGCTTTGACCCCTCGTTTGTGATTGTCTCCCTCAGTGAGATCTGCAGCTCAAAGCCGCCTCACGTTTTAGTTGTTACGACATTCGAAATTCGCAATTTTATTTTCCTGAATGAGACTACCTACAAAGTTGCTGAACGATTCGCACCAGCTCACGATCGTTTCGGCTCTCCTTGGGTCTTATGAGGTACGTGCTGTCTCTGAGTCCAACTTGCGAAGTAAGCGAAGTAGAACCGTTGTCAGCCGACTGCAGTCCACTGCACGAATGAACAGGACGGAACAAAGAGACAAGACATTCAGTTTCTCAACAATTTGTGCTCAACGAGCGACCAGCTGAATATCTCGTTTCTGATATGAGTGCATCGACATGATGAGCCCAAAGCAGAACGAAACTGGTCGCAAGTTGCCCAATATAATGGGTCAAGAAAGAGAATAACAAACACGCCTTATTCTCTCCCGTATTTTATGCGATACTCCAACTGAGAAATCTTGTTCCTTCCACATGTAGGGCTTCCTGAGATGACGAGTGGACCAAGCATAGATGCACAAAACGTACAGAAAACCGAAAGATATTTCTAGACCAACAGACCATGAATGCTGGCCAAATTTTCCAACGCAGTTGATTGAACGTAGGAGTTTTGCTTCTAGTTAAACATCTCAAAACATGCTAGTTTGAAAGACCACTGCTTGACCCACTAGACGCACGGAACAAACAACAGAATAGAAAACCCTTAAAGAACAAATTATTTCAAAGAACAGTTTCTGTTCTACAATGGAAGTCTCATTAATTTCCTCCCCATTACACTATTTTTCACTGACTGTATATTAGGAGAACCAGCTCCGAACGTAACGGGACCACATAGCAGCCAATGGATTAAGCGTTTTCTTTGAGACAAATTTCATTGGTTGCTTTTCAGTCGTCCTTGCCAGATGAGTTGTAATCTTAGCATCACTTTCTTGACCCGCTCGTACGCGATAGTGATCAATAGATCAGCCGGTTCGCACGTTCATTGAATTTTTCTGGTTTGGTCAAGCGCACCAGGCGATCACGTGGCTATCCAGACCGGGGTTCACGGTAATAAGAAGGCATTAAGGAGACTGTGGTCCACAACACTGTATAAATTACTACACTCTGGGAGATATTGAGACCCATAACTAGGCACATAAGACCGCATGACAACAGCCAGCTGAGTAGTACTAAATAGAGAAACAGAGGCGATTTTCTGAAATTTCCACTACAGCCTAATCGGTCAGATCATGTAGGTGGTATGAAAGACTTTGTTGCGTAAAACAACCAACGTAGCATAATCGAGGAACTATTCCGTGAATCTGAATGTCGCATCAATCGCAGATTGCAAATCAACATGAGGTACAGAGTGAGTTTGGTTATATGGGGGCTCCTGAGCAAAAACCGAATACGCATTTGCAACCCTTCTTTGAAGCACAAACCGCGCTTTATCATCCACTCTCCTGTCTTCACTCAAAGATGATTTCAAAGCAGAAGCGATTGATTGATTGATTGATTGATTGATTGATTGATTGATTGATTGATTGATTGATTGATTGATTGATTGATTGATTGATTGAATGACTGATTTCGAACCAAGTGATCAGAGTACAGTTTGAAGAGGATTCTCGTGAGAATGCGGCGCTTGAACACTAGAGCTCCTCCAGATGTACGAAATCCAAGCATGGGGCGGACTTCCTCCGGAAATTCACATCATTGTGTAAGAGCGGTCGTGTTTTTGTCAGCGGACAATCAGGGGCATTCAACACCTTGATGTAACCGTTCGCACGTAGAAGTACACTACCAAAGCGGTTCACAAAATCAACTGAGATGAAGGAATTTTATTACAGTCGAATTTGGCACCCTTGAATTAAATGAGTTCAAACATTTCAACTGAATCCACTGATTTGAGTGTCCTAGAATACGGACAAAGAGTGACAGTTAAAAAGTTTTGCGCATGCGGTATTTTCGGGTATCAATGCAGCACAAGGTTCCTGAAATGATCGGCGCCTGTGAGCGGAACTAATTGTCTCACGAGCGAAAAATATCGGTGATTTTTTCTTGCAACATACAAAAAGCCGGGTGGTAAATTTTGAAGACACTTTTTGTTTATCTATCTATCTATCTATCTATCTAACTAACTAACTATCTATAAAATTTACATGCATCACGGTGCCGTTCTACCGAAGCAGAATATTCCAAGTCACTTTCTCGAAAAGTCAGGTTCAAGGACTTGGAACAGCGTCATCCAGCTTTTATAATTGATATCGAAGTACACAAAGACCTAGTGATCCAATGTCGCCTCTAGCGGTGGATGGTCAGTTTGTGAGTTGCCTTACTATGCTGTAGCGTCTTTCTCAGCGGGATAGCCGTCACACGGACGCTTAGGGCGGTTCACATTCTGGTTCTAAGTGAGTATGTCCTCAGAATTGTCGTCGGTGCCGAAGATTGATGAACTGTTGGACCCGGGACCCTTGGCAACGTAAATGAATAGTCTGTCTATTAACTACGTGACGTAATTATTTGTTTCCCTATTCCTCAGGCTAATTCATCACCCTTCCGGTGAATGCTCAAGTTTTAAGACAGAACTGTTCTATTTTATACAAGGTCGACTCTTCCTCAGCCATTTTTATATGGACGATTTTTTCACTTTCATTACTGGGCTTGTGGTTGAAAATTTGAACAACCTCGTTTAATTTGTCCGATAGTACACTGCTCTTCGTGTGCCATCCTGTGTTGCTAACTGCCCAGGGTTCATTCTAGCCGTAAGCCTTTCTTTAATTCTCCTCACGATTTACTGTTAATTTCTTATAGAATCACGGTCTACCTATCTATACTGTCTGCCCACGTCTAATTCAATGAATTATTTACTGCCCAATCGCGACTACTGAAGAAACGCAGGTGAAGTTTGTGGGATTCGGTTTCGCCACAATTATTACTGACCGTCCTTTGGTGAATTAGACTACACGTTACCTGTCAGATAGGACACCTACATCGTGTGTTTAGGCTAATGAACCAATTCCCTGCTTTGAGAACATGGCCTTAGAACAGAACAGTACACTGTCTTTTAGAGGTACTTTGACTGGTGACTGCATATACCTGTGGTAGACAATTTGAGCTAAAAAGAATATACGACTCGGTGGCATGAGATCAAATGGTCGTCCTGCAGGCGTGCGGTTCCGTTCAAAGACTAATTCCAAATGTCTCTGAAGGACGAAGTTAAGCTGCACAAAAGGACTGCCGGCGTTGGCGATTCGGACATACATTCAATGTCTCTCTTCGTCATTTACATTGATGACGGAGTCGAAAACGTGTACGCTTTTCTGAAGGTCAACTCCTGTGACAAGAAATTAGTCAGGTCTTCTCAACCTTTATTTCGGCTCAAGCCGGAGTGCGTACTCGCCGATGCAATGGATCACATGCTGAAAGTTGCTCAAGGTGAGATATCATTGGGGCAGGCGAGGTTTATGTGCCACGTGATAAGGAGTGTTTCCGGCATCAGCGATTCTCTGATAGCTCGCGGAACCGACTATTTGGTGAAAAAACAAAATTTGACGGCCTCTTTACGGAAAGACAAGATACGAGAGGAGGCTTCTCTGCTCATCTATGCTGAACTACCGGGTGACCGTCGATGAGTGTGCAAACAGTATGTGTATACAAATTGAAAAGGTAATCGATGGCAAACGGGAGGAAGTTAGGGGGACGGAAAAACCTAGGGCATGTGAATAGTCATAGTGTACAATCATTTTCTGACAGGTTGTATGGAAAACGTCGGATGAAATGTGCAGAATAACGAGTAAGGTGTTAGCTGACTTAGACAAACGGATAAGTGATATTTACGAAAGTATTTCGGTGTACAAAATAACTCATCATCTGACTATAAAAGTAGATTTGTTGAATTCTTCGGGGCGTATTAATTTAGTTGAGATGACAACGCCAGTATATTTTCGGCATTAAGCTTGGCGGATTTGACCTTCGTTGCCATTTGAGCCTGCAATAGCCCCGGGAATGTCAACTCCGTCTCTACGCAAGCGTGAGATGGACCAAATGATTAGAGCGCGAATTTACTGGCCGGAAGGTCCGTGGTTCGAACCCGACCTCTGCCACTCGACTTCTCCTGTCTAAGCTAGGGCGACCTGGCAGTATCCCAGTCCTCATACCTCCTTCGTATGGCATGGCAGCTTGACACCGAAAGGATGCTACAGCTGGATGAGCAAAGCTGTAGCCAATCTCTTATGTCCACTGAAAGTTTGGTTTATTGTTCTCTCAAATCAGTCGGCGTTTGACAATTTAGAACGTAGTAAACCAACAGTAGCGTTATCCGCAGAGGTTCCTCCGAGTGAACAATGTTCCAGGGTTCAAAGAGTACTTGTAGACAGAAACGGTGACCAAAAGACTGGATCTGATGAATTCCCGCCAATTTAAGATTGCTTGCTGGAGTTACTCAGTGTGTTCTTCGAAATGACGGGAGTAGTTGGGCTAGCACGTTCAAGGGAGTGGGAGCGCATGAAAATCGGTAGATTTAGAGAATCAGCGAGTTCTACCAATTCCTCATTCATCAGAAGAAACCGCCGTCCCAAATTGTTGGTCTGTTCGCCGAGCTTGGCAGTTGGATTGCAAACATTCCATCACCAGTCGAGGTGACATCGTCAGTGCGAGATTGAGTGGGTCATCTAATCCTGGGCCGCTCAATCATGCACTGATGACGTCACCACGATTGGTGATGAAACGTTCGCAATCCAACTGCCAAGCTCGGCGAACAGACCAACAACAAAGCGGCGCAACCGAGCTACCTACATTCCACAACACTGCTTACCGCTGTCCCTATTATGTGAACTCGGATGTAGACAGATATCTGGTGTTCCGCCATTGTCCGGGATAGACCGAGTGGGTTTGATCGATTCAAATAGATCAGGAGCCTTAATAGAGCTACTCTGTCGTTGGTTGGTCGTTTCAACGCACGCGGTCGCCCTCCTCACAGCAGCATGTGGTCAAGACAAACCTTGTCCGATGGAAGGCCTGTTTCATTCCTCCGAGAGTAGTGCCGTAGTGTCTAACAAAATACTTTGGTTGAAGCACCTACTAGGCCAATCTCCGGTATTTTTTTCAACCGATTCAGTATCGGGAATAGTAAGGGGTCTTGTAAAAGGGAAGCAGTTGGTGAGTTCATCGGAGTACCAACAGCAAATGAATTTCACAGCTTCTTTCCAGGAAACTCCACTTAAAAGTCACATCAGCATCAGTTGAACGTAAGTTTGTTGAAAATGCCACATCTAGGAATGATGGGCACCGGTTTTAAAACACCCAAGATTCACCTGACCGAGTCAACCGCACTACCAGTTGGGACGTACAATTATTTGTAGAGGTTACCCAGTCCCCAACTAAGGTTTCCAATCCGCGAACTAATTGGGGGAACTGAAAAGCCTTGAGGTATCGCGTGACCGGTTCATCCAGAAATGGTTTATTCGACATAATGTTTCGAAGCCACAACTCTCGCTTCATTAGAGCTGGCCCCTGTTCTGATGTCGTTCGAAATGTTCGCATCCTGAGGAGTTCTTTGATATACCGTTGTTCATCGAGTCCGATACAAATATGATTTGTGTTTAGACCCAAAAACGATTGGAATAATCATAAAAGACCTGGTTCGAGACTCTGGGACACCAAAGTGGACAGAGTGTTAGATATCTCCTAAGACAGGTATGACTGTCGCACGACTTGTCGCTGAGTAGGTTGAAGGCTCCTCAATCTAGCAGAGCTTTTCGAATCAGTCTAGGATGCAAGTATTTACAAGCAATCAGTAAGAACACTGACGTTCGTTTCTATGGCCCATTTAATACCATTGTTGCTGGACAAAAGTGCGGTATTAATCCAGCAGGGGACGAGATGGACCAAATGGTTAGAGCACGGATTTACTGAACGGAAGGTCCGTGATTCGAAACCGACCTCTACCTCTCGACTTCCCCTGTCTAGGTTTGGGCAACCTCACAGTATCCCAGCTCTCGTGCCTCCTTCGTGTGGCATGGCAGCTAGGCACCGGAAGGGTGCTACAGCTGAACGAATAATCCAGCGGAAGGGCACCTAATGAAGGATGCTGGATGGGACATGGACTGTAACACATCTTACAATATGCTTTAGAGTTGAGAACACTCTCCGTTAATGGTGAAAACGAACTGCATGTTGATGCCATACACTATACATAAAGTTACTGAAAACTCTTCGACAGTAGAAATCGGTTTCGCCATTCTTGAGGCTCATCAGGTAGGCGCAGTCCCCGAGTTTCCTTCAACCTTATGTTCTACCTGAATGTGCCGTTTCAGACCACCTCATGTTTCAGTTGGTACGATATTCATCGTATCGGACGTAATATACTACTCATTAGGTTACTGAAAACTCTTCATCAGCTCACGAACGGTTTCGCCCTTCTTGAGGCCCGTAAGTCGTTCAACCTCAATCCCAGTCCACAGGAAGATACCTCACAACCTTAGAATGGACTGTACAGTGAAGCAAAGTGAAATCATTTGCAAGGTCATTTGCAGCGGTCGATGTTTGAAAATCGTTTGCTCCCTTCCATAACCTACGCATTTTCGTGACCCACTTTTGGCCCCCAACACCATGTTGGGAAACGAACAGTTACTATACTACTGTCACAGTAGAAAATGACAATATACGTGCACTGTCTTTTTGGCGTGCCTACTGCTTGGTCCACAATTTCTGTCTTCGGGTCACGTGCAAGCAAGGAAACGAAGATATCAATCAAGGTTGATTTAATTCATCAAACCCATGATCAGTTTGTTCCGTACGTCGGCGCATGATGACCGGTGTA